ATATCGGTATCGGCAGATATCCAAATTTATGATATCGGTATCGGTATCAGACATAAAAAAGTGGTATCGTGCCATCTCTAGTTTTAACCAGCTTTTATCTTCTTTTTATGTCAGAAGAATAAGAAGAAACTACTTTTGGCTACTCCATTGTGACAAGGGTTCACCACAGCAGGATCCTCAGCATGTTTGATGTGGGAAAGTTTCACACCAGACAAACCCTGAAGGGATTTGTGTCTCAAACCAGGAACCTTTCAATCATCAAGTGAATGTGTAAACCACTGCACTTTGCAGCCACTTATCTTTACGATAGACTTGGACAATCACATGCCCAGCTCCTGGAAAGTCTTCTTCAGCCACAGAAACCATCCTCTTCCATGGATGTGTAGGTCTATCTTGCAGACCTCACCACTGTTTTCTCTCTTTTCTCTGAATTTGACCTTCTAATGTTCTCACTGTCTCTTTAATGACTTTCTAATGTTTTAACAATGTAAAAATCACTCATTCATTTTCACTGGTAGCATCTTTGACTGCATGTTGTAAATTTTCAGCAGCAGCTTAAAATGCAAATGCCACCTCCTGAACACCCCTCAAACATTTACCTGCTTGATGTATGAAGAATTAATATACTTAAAAGAAAGAAAAGAAAAAGCACACACATATCAATGAAATGGCTTTAGTGCAATTATAATTGAGCCCCTCAAGATGACGGACAACATATAATTATTGCAAGAATTTGTAAATGATTAAAGCAATATTTTTGTCCAACCCCCACATTAAATCTCTAAAACCACGTCTACATCAAATTCATAACTGTACGTAACATAAAATCTTCCTACCCACACAGCTAAAATAACAGAAACCATGTCAGTGTATAAAATATATGTTGAGCTCACTGTATCCACACACACATCAGCTGCAACTTGATTTTTTTGTTTGTGTTTTTTTCAGATTGTGTAATAATCTGAGGTCACAGTGGACGGTGATAATTTGCATCTTCTGATCCTTGAACAAGGTGACAGGCTGTAATCCTTTATCCTTTACTGAAAAAAAGTGTTGGCAAACTTCACAAACCTTGTTATCTCATAAGTGTGTTATTGCTCTATGCCTCACAGTGACACATTATTGCTTATTGTGCATGTTGCAGAGACCTGAGGGCTGTACTACGAAGTGGTTTAACTAATTTTCCCTGTGGTCATTTAAAAAACTAAACAAACCCAAACTCATCTTGAGTGGTGTTTGTGGTATATGACACTACGAAGGCAACTGAGATGTTGGCGAGTCAACTCAGTGTTGAGTTGCCTTCATATCGAAAGGGAACTTTTGGCACAAGAATATTACATTAATATATTTCTTTCAAAGGGAGCAAGTAACACTTTCAACAACAACAACAACAATAAAAAAGGCCATTAAAGATTTTACACTGCCAAGTCAAAAAAACAAGAACAACTCAAATGTTTTATTAGAATTGCTTCAAATTTTGATGACAACGCAAATTCCCATGGTATCGTTTCATAATCTTAGGCAAGAATTGCACAAATTTTTCACTAAGATCTTGTATTGTGTCAGCTGATTCATGTGTGAAAATGTTGTCTCGTGTTCCACAAACAACTCTGTGCAATATTTGCAATATTTTTTCTTATATTTGACTGTGCAATAATCACTGTGCAATATACTCACTCAAATGTGCAATCCACTGGTATTCCTATTCATCCATATTATATATTCTGTATTTATATATGTGTATATGTGCATATTTGGTAGATTTTATGTGTCACACAGTGGAAATTTGTATTTATCTTGTATATTGTTTTTATTCTGATTTTTAGTGTTTATTTATGAGTGTCGTTTTATTTGCATGGTTTTATTCTGTTTCT